TGAYGCACCAGAATGCAGAATTCAGTCTCATAGTTTCTTGGATATTCATTTCCTCTCAAACCTTCTGCTCAACAATTAGATTCCAGAATAACCATGTGATTAGGAGAAGGTTTGTCCCCCAGTGGACTTATCTCATATTTCCTCCTTATTGTGTGCTGAATGGCATGATGGAGCAGAGGTGAAGAGGCACACAGTCCTGAAGGTTGGCACTTCCACAGCATAGCAGCAGCTTTGAAGATTCCCATATCATGACTGTCGAAAGCCCAGCAAAGGTTAAAGTGCCAAAAGACCTTCCTTGACAGCTTTCTGCAGTGCATCCCCATGAACATAGTAATAACAACTTGTCCAAGGCTCCTGTGACTCTGGAGAGTGAGGGTTGCAGCCAGAGTAGTCCATTGCAGAGCAAGGATTCAAATATGCAGCTGGAAGCTAGCCCAGGAKCAGAACACAGGCAACCTTCTTTCTAGTCCAGTGGAGAGATGCAGCCTTGGAACCAGAATGGTGGCTTGAAGACAGGTGAATGTCCACACTGCCCTAGGGTGTGGGTCRGTCCTGGAGAAACGCTGAAACATGAGTAGGTCTGGCCCCTGGGGTTTGGAGGAATACAGCTGGACCTCTTTGAGCCATTGCAGAGAACACTTGGTCTCAAGAGAACTGCCATCTTGCTCTTGAGCAAAATCTTAGTTTTAACTATAAGAAAAACAACAGTGCAAGTATAATATGAAATGGGGATTCAGTTCAGTGTAGGGGTGACTAGGGGGAGTGGTGAGGACTGTGATAAATGGGAATGCCAATTATAGCCATGAGAGTGTGGATCTCATAATTCCAGGTATTCACATTTTTCAGAAGAAGGTAAAAATTCCAGGTTAAACACCACACATACACACGCACACACACACATACACACACAGAGCCCTCCTGAATTTTCAACTGGCAATTTATCCAAATTAAAAAAAAATCCTTACTCATGCATCATATAATATAAACAAAACATGTCTATGGGCCAGATGTGGCTACAGAGCTGTTGGTTTGTCACCTATGAATTTTGGAAATAAAAAACACAAACCAAGAGACTAAGTCTTTTTCTCTGCTGTCCATCTTATCTTTCCCTGCTGAGGCAAGGAGCACCAACTCTTTTTACATGAAGGGACAGGAAAAATTACCAGGAGGAAAACAAGACCAGCATAGGCTAATGCTTCAAAATCTGCAAAACTGCACTGGGTGTGAGGCTGGACCTTAATGTAATAGGATTGGTGCCCTTATGAGAGGAGGAAATTTGGCTTACAAGAGACACTGAAGATGCATGTGCATAGAAGAAAGGCCATCTGAGGACACAGTGGGAAGGCGGCCATTTGYAAGCCAAGGTTGGGGGCCTGTTTTAGACAGCTTCTGTTTTGCTGTGACCAAAATATCTGACAAGAGCAACTTAGAAGAGGGAAAGTTTATTTGGGGCTAGCAATTTCAGAGGTTTCAGTCCACTGAAGTGAGGAAGAGCATCATGGTGGAAGGGCCCAGTGGAGGAAAACTCCTCACCTTATGGTGGGGTCAGGAAGCAGGGGGTGGGGGAACCTAAACCTAAATATAGTATATAATATACAATAAAATGTAATGATAAGAATAATAAAGTTATATTATAAAATAATAAGATTAATATTATATATGTGAATACACACACACACACACACACACACACACACACTCTAGTTTATGATTTCCAATCCATTTTAACTCACCTGAGCCAATTTCATTGAAGTAGTCACAGAATGAAAACTTGGGACTTAATGGGTTAAGCTTCCCAGACTGTAGTATTTTTGTTATCACAAACAGTATTCCAATTTGCTTTCTGAAAGGGTCACAGTTACCTCAAAGTTGTTTTTCACATGATCACTGAGTTGCTATGTTTTTGGAGAAAGGAAGAAAATTGAAAGATGAAATTGAAGACATTGACTACCTTCTCCATTCTAGGTACTCTGAGGCTTTCTGGTTTTGTTTAGAACTCTCAGTTTTTTTAAAAAAATGTATAGTATCTCCCTTGATCATCAAAACAGTCTTAAGAAGATTTATCTATATCTTAGAGCTCAGAATCCCATAACACATATAATACATAAGTAAGTGAAAGAATTTTAAAAACACAGAATTATCTGCARGTTCTGCTCACTTTGTGCTCCAAAYGTGGACCTTATTAATTGCAAAACAAAACCTCCTCCACAATTGGTGGAAATGTTTGGATTATAAGTAAATAGTTCTGTAAATGCCCAAATGTAAATGATAAATATTGTATTTATCGTATGGATGACAGATTGTGAGATTCAGAAAGGCCAAGTTACTTGACCAAAGTCACACAACTAGTATRTAAGTGGCAGAGCTGACAATCACATCCAGGTTGTCTGATTGCCTAAAGCTAGTTAGCATATGTAAAACAGACTCCTGGTAACAGACGCTTGCTGGACAGGAGAACAGTGGGCATGCACTGCCCTAGTACATGAAGGACCAGCAACCCACAATCTGCAGTTTTCTATACTTGGAAAAACAATGATGGATGTCACCCTGGAAAGAATRAAGATTCTCAGATCTAAAAGTGTGAGGGCAGGCACAGTCAGAGAAAACCAAATGGGGTAAATAGCTACTAGGGATAATTAAAGTCCTCCACTTTCTTAAGAAAGGAGTTTTTTTCCCCCTCTTTTATTCTTAGGTAACTTTCTTTTCCCTCCCCAATTCTTTCTGTAAAGTTTGTTTCTGGGCAGAGATGAATAGACCCTTACCCCGTCTCTTAAGTGCTCAAGTCAGGAGTGACATCTGGAATCAACCCACATTTCCATTCAGTCAAAGGAAGATTCCTTGTGTCCAGGTACTATGCTGAGCACTGGGAATGAAGATGGGTGGGAGATGGCTCCTGCCCTCAGCAGGCTCATGACCCACTGGGTAGGGGAGCTCTTCATTAAAGTCCATGTATGTGAATCATCAGATCTGCTCCCTACCTACTATGCTGATGAAAACCAAACTCCCTAACTCACATGGTAAGTACTCTAACCAAGGAATGCATAATACCCGGAGGTGGCTGGGGATGCCGGACAATGGTCAAGCCAATGCTTAGTATTTGAGAGTCCCTGGGCTCCATCTCTAGCTCCAAAAAAAAAAAAAAAAAAAAAAAGAACGAAACAACCCAAAGGAAACACCAGGGTGGTACAGATTATAATATTTGTTAATGCCCACTCACTTTTCATGATAATATTTTACTCTTTGTAGTACAGTCTCATTCAATCTTAAGAACAGCTCTTAAGATAAATATTGTATTTATTGTATGACAAATTGTGAGATTCAGATTCAAAGTCACATAACTAGTATGTAAGTGGCAGAGCTGACAGTCACATCCAGGTTACTGATTGTCTAAAGCCCTGTTTCATTACACAATGTGAAGTTATTCTCAATCTTCTTCTCTGAGCTTGCCTATAAAAGAAATGTTCCACTGTTCTTCTTCTTATTATTACTAYTATTATTATTCTGATGGTTGAACCAAGGGCCTTGCATATGCCAGAAAAGCATTCTACCACTCTGAGCTACACCCCAAACCCTCCTACAATTTTAGAGTTTTAAAAACAAATCCAATCTGACTTGGAGGGCCCCGCCTGGTGGAAATTAAATTTTGGTCAATTTTGGAGCTTCCCTTCCTGCTGAACCCAGGAGGTCCCTCTCGTTGTTGACTCACATTTCTCCTGATCTCATAGTCCTTTGAAGTGTTGGCTTGGCTGCCACTTTGGACAAGGGAAACTAGAACAAATGCCCAGGCCACTCCCCAAAACTTCCTACATCTGATCTCCTCAACTGGGCAGGTGCTGTGCTATAAGGAGGTGCTTCAAGTCAGGCAGCTCTGGGTCCTACCATTCAAGGAGACTATACTTCCTCCTTTGGAGATTCCTGTACTTTTCTCACCATTCTCTCTCCCTCCCCAGCCCCAGTTCCCATACTGTTGTGTTATCCCTCTGAAAAGTCTCAGGACATCTAAGATGGTGCCATGTTGAGAGATGCTTGTGTTAGTTCAAGTCCTCTAGGAAGTGGACAGGAAAACAGATACACAAGGGGTTTATTGAGGGGAAAATGGGGAAGGAGCTGGAGGAGGCTGGGACAGCATCCAGACTGCATGCTATYTGTGCAGGAAACAGGAAAGGAGGAAAGTAGAAACATTTCAAACTAGACAACTAGATGTTTTGGCAAGGTCAATGGAGAATCCTGGAGCCAGTCACCTGTCAGAAGAGTCCTGCCTCTTCCAGGAAAGGACCTGCCTTATGTCCCTGTTGGGCTCAGTCCTTGGCAGAAAGCAGCCTGTGAAAAGTGTGGCCGTGTGCCAAAGCCAAAGCCATAGTGGAATCAGAGCACAGCAGCTGGGGCTGTCTTCAGTTAAACTCCTCAGAGCTCCAGAGTGCCTGAAAATATCAGTCTTCATTCTTCTTCATCTAAAGCATCTGCATGCTTACAGAGATGCTGAGCTTCTGACTGCTAACAATTATATTAAGAGCAATAATCCTAGAATTTACCATTTATGAGTGTAAAGTTCTTTCATGTGATGCATTTACATGCATCAGTCAGTAAATAGCCCTATGAGAGAGCTAGTCTGATTAGCCTGTTTTAGAGATGAGGACTGTTATGGCTGAATGGTCCCCACCCCCTGCTGCCACTTCTCCAACTCATATGTTGAAATTCTAATCCAGTACTTCAGAGTATGATTGTATTTGGAGATAGGACCTTTAAAGAGATCATTCAGTTAAAATGAGGTCATGAAGGGAGGCCATCATCCATGTGACTGGTGTACTTGTAAGAAGAGGAAATTTCAACACCGGGAAGATGTTGTAAATAGGTGTAGGGAGAAATGGCCATCTCCACGCCAAGGAGAATGGCCTCAGGTTTTCCTTTTCTTGTTACAATTTTTTCTTTTTGCTTTAGTACACCCCCCTCACCCCTTCTAATTCTGGATTTTCTTCTCTGTCCATTGTTTTCTATTGTAGAAAAATTGATGGGACCAATGAGGAAGAAGATAACATTGAACTGAATGAAGAAGGCAGGCCCGTGCAGGCATCCAGGCCACGCCCTCCGCTCTGTGACTGCCATTGCTGTGGCATCCCTAAGCGTTACATCATCGCCATCATGAGTGGGCTGGGATTCTGCATCTCTTTTGGGATTCGGTGTAATCTTGGAGTTGCCATTGTGGAAATGGTCAACAACAGCACTGTATATGTGGATGGAAAACCAGAAATTCAGGTCAGTATCTATATCTCACAGGACTTTTTTTTTTTTTGCTCATAGCTGTGCAGATGAAAGTAAGCACTGTCACTCATTCATTGATATGGCAAAAGTGTAGAGTGACTACCATGCACTGGACACTGTGTGGTGATGGGGAGAGTCTGGTGAGCCTCAGCTGGGCCCTTATCCTTACAGAGACAGACAGTAAGTGATGATAGTTTGGGATTCTAGGGGCTAAGTTCAGCAAACACAGGATCCTTGAGCTCATCTAGCTCAAACTTTGATATCATGAAAGAATTCCCAGAGAAAAGTGATGRTTGGACCAGACAGAGAGTTTTGGTGGGGCGGAAGAAAAAGGAATATCATAAGGGAGAAAGAAACAGATGGAAACAGAGCAGACAGGCTATGATTTAGGAACTGAGACCTGAGCATTTCAATTTTCTGTGCCATGAATCCCTTTGGCAACCTGGTGATAGCTTACAAACATTTTGTCAAAGATAATGCGTTAAATTCTTAATATCAAATGCAAAGGATGAGCTGGGGATGTGACTCAGTGGTAGAATGCTTGCCTGCCATGCCTGAGCCCTGGGTTCGATCGACAGCATGCTCATGTGCACACACACACACACACACACACACACACAAAGTGCGAAGGATTAAAAAGGAAGTCAATTATGTTAAAATACACATATCAAAATATTAAAAAATCAAATTGGTGATACAGAGACATGTGGGCTCCTTTATTAACTTATCAGATGAAAAAAATCTAGCAATGGTTCTACAATTGCTGCAATTTTAAGTTTGAAGTATAAACAATAGTTTGGGATACTGGCAACAATTAGTATGATTTGAACATACTAGTTTATGACTTATATAACAGAGTCACTACGGAAAAACTACTATAGATGGTTTTCTGCACTTAATTGCAGAAAAGCCTAAATTTTACTTAGCAGTTAGTKAAAATTAAGATGCCAACTTTTCCCCATCCAAGTTCACAGATCTATAAGATTCCATCCATAGGATGAGACTTCTCAATAAGAAGGTAGARCACCAAGAGATGGAGATACCAAAGTCAATAGGCATCAGGTCATACAAGGCCTGATAATGCGGCAGAGTGTCATGGATGGGCTTAAGGGGAGAGGCAATCAAACCCATGCTCCAGGATGATCATTGCCCAGTGGGAGGAGGCTGGGTCCAAGCGAGACAAGAGTGGAGGCTGGGGAGCAGTTCAGAGGCTGTTGTAGTCATGAGCAAGCATACYATGGTGTGATTTAATTAAATTGTTTTATGATTCATTGGAAACATAAAATCTGGTTTATTAAGAAGGTTATGGGAGAAAAATACCAAATTAAAATGTATGGCCACCAGCACCCAATAAATATATATTTCACCGAACGGAACACATACCCTGAAATGGAGATGTTTTTGCAGAGAGGCATCTAATAGTTCTCTGGTCCCCACCTGTATTTGGAGAAACGTTTAGATTAGAGTTTCCCAGACTGGGAATTCATTGCTTTGCTGGCTGTGCTTTGAAGAAGGTGTTGCCTGTACTGTTTTGTGTCCTATGCAACTGTGCAGGATGGGGACATGAGATGCAGTCTTTCTTGGACTGACTTGATGGCAGAATACTCTTTCATGTGATATCTATTAGCATCATCTGGAACAGTCTCCTGCCAAGCGCTGGCTTGGGAAAATTTGATGTCAGTCCATTAAAAACAGGTCTTCAGTTGGCTTGCAGGCTTTTTTTTTTTTTTTTTAACTAAGAGATTATTCTGCCAGAGGAAAACAGCACCATGGAGATTCTTGTAGTTTCTTTTTGATGCCACAGCTGAATTTGTCCTAAAAAGATATCCTGCCTTTTGGGGGGGAATGGTGCCAGGGTTGGGATAGAGGTGGAGGAGCATATCATGAATTTTTAAAATAAAGAATGATGTATATTAGTGAGGTTTCAGATGGGTATCATCACATGCATTCTTTCAGCCTTTTGTGAGCAAGGCCAGCTAATTAAAACTTATCTGCTGAGACCCAGATCAAAATGAGATTGTTTTGCATTTGTTTGTTACCTGAAAAGACAGGCTGAGGTCAGTAGAATCTGCTTTGAGGCATATAGAAAAGACATTTTGATAAACCCAAGGAACAATGCTAGTGTGTGCTCTCTAGTTTCTAAGGTTTTGCCTTCTGGAGTCTTAGAGGAACTGATTAAGATCTAAAATGTGCTTTACATGACTTTCTCTGGCCTYAAGAGTGGGAGTTCAGTAGCATTTTAGAAGCTCTAGCATAACTCCTATTTGTATCAGGCAATTTCTCTCTGGTCCAAATAGAACAAAGCTTAGATATCTGCTGAGTACGTCCAACCGAATGACAAAGTGCTCTGGCTGGTACTTTTGTTTGTCTGTTTGTTTTATTTTATGGGGAGAAAAACTAGATATTTTGCATTAAGAAATGTTGCAATCCTCATTTGAGAGAGAGAGAGAGAGAGAGAGAGAGAGAGAGAAGGTGGGGGAATGGGGGTGGGGAGAGGTAGTATGAATACATTGGTCTTCCAAATAATTATGTGGCATGTGTTCAATAAGTGGCATAAAGGGTGATTTTTTTTAGCTCATATGTGGATAATTATTTTTTGTTTTAATAATTATGTGTTAGGATTGGAGGTGCAACTCAGTGGTTAGTGCTTAGTGTGCTCAAGGCCCTAAGTTCAATCCCCAGTAACCCGCCCCCCCCCAAAAAAAAATGTTAAAACACGTGGAGTACTAAGAATAGTATCTGACATATGGTAAGCAAAAAAATGACTGAAGGTTGAGAAACCTTGTGATTATTTCTCAGTACCTTCAGGAAAGTCCAAAGTCCTTCCCATCGATCACAAGTTTTATAGGGTTAAGAGGATGGGCTTTGGATTTGGCCAGACCTTTTAAAATTGATTGCTATTATTAGCTCTGGAGTCTTGAGCAAGTTGCCCTTGTGTCTTGGTCAGGGATTGCTGGTTGAAAAGAACACAAGTACACGGAGACCAGTTCAAAAGGGGGTTATTGAAGGGCTGARGGGGAATCTCATGAAAGTGAAGTGCAGGAAGCAGGTTGGTTATGGCTGTTTTGATGGTCTGTGCCATGGACAGGAGGGACCCAGCCTGAAAAGGGGCTAATATACTCCATCCAGGGGAGGGAAAAGCAGATTAGCTGAGTCTCAGCTATGGTTTAGCTCTCTCTATTCTGACCTCCCCATCAGCCATGCTGGTCAGCAGGGGAGAAGTCCATGGAGGAGAGGCAGAATCCTCTTAGGAGGAGACAGGAACCAGTATTTCTAGCAATTTTTTGCTAACCCTCGTCCACCTTATTGTGAGATGGAAATAAAAGGACTCCTTTGAAGATCAAATGAGATAATTTTAATATTTAACTCATTGGATCTTAAATACCTGTATCAGTTTCCCTAGAACAAATTTCCGTAAACCTGATAGCTTAAAACAGCAGAAATTTATCCTACTATAAGAGTTTGTGGAGACCAGAAGTCTGGAATCAAAGTGTCCACAGGGCCTCACTTCCTCTGACGTCTCTAGTAGGGACTCCTTCCTTGACTCTACCAGCTTCTGGTGGCTCCAGGAGTTCCTTGGTTGTGACTTTCACTCCATTCTCTCCCTCCATCTTCACATGGCCTTTTCCTCTCTGTGTGTCTTCTCTTCTGTCTCAAATCTCCCTGTGCCTTTCTCTTATAAGGACACTTGTCATTGGACTTCGGGCTCAGCTAGATAAATCCAGAATATTTTATTTTAAGGTCTTTGACTTTCCACATCTGTGAAGACGAGTTTTCTGAATAAGGTAGCATTGACATCTACCAGGGCTTTCTTGTGGATATCTTTTGGGGACCATTTTTCAGCCTACCACAGTACTTGACAAAGTGCTTGGATTATTATAGTAATGGTTCATACAATTTATACTTTAAAATATTCCATTGTAATAAGAATGCTTACCGTGAGAGCTACTCTCTTAATAAATTTTAAGTGTCCATTATTGTTGCTTGTAAGTACAGTATTGTACAGCAGCTCTCTAGAGCCTTTTTTATCTTGCTTGACTGAAATTTTCTGCCCACTGGTTAGTAACTCCCCATTTCTCTTCAATTCCTGACAACCACCATCACACTTTGATTCAGTGAATTTGACTCTTTCAGATGCTTCATGTGAGTGGAATAAAACGGTATTCTTCTGTGACTGTCGTATTTCCTGTAGTTCATCCAAGTTGTTGGACATTATTGAATTTCCTTCTCTTTTAAAAGCTGAATTGTATTTTATTAAATGTATACACCACATTTTCTTTATTCATCTCTCATCAGACGTTCATGTCATTTCCAAATCTTGGCTATTGTGAATATTGCTTCAGTGGAGATGAGAGTGCAGATATTTTTTGGGGTCCAGATTTTAATTCTCTTGGATAAATACCTGTGGGAGGCCATCCTCCCACGTGATTTGAGTTACCTCCCTGACTGGGTGAGAGGTGCTTAGACACAGCTGTGTCAGAGCTTTCTCACCCAGCCAGGGAGGTAACTCAAATCATGTGGGAGGATGGCCTCCCACAAATACCCAGAAGCATAATTGCTGTATCATATTTTTAGTTCTATTTTTGATTTTTGAGGAGACTCCATATTGTTTTCCATAGTGGCTGCACCATCCTATATTCCCACAGGCAGCAAGTGTTCCAGTTTCTCCACATCCTTACTAGTGCATGTCATCATCCTTTCTTTAAAATAAATAAATAAATAAAATATATAATATATATATAGTATATATATATTATATATTTACTTGTAGATGGACACAATACCTTTATTTAATTTATTTATTTTTATGTGGTGCTGAGGATTGAACCCAGTGTCTCACATGTGCCAGGCAAGCGTTCTACTACTGAGCCCCAACCCCAGCCCCCATTTTTCTTTTGATAATGGCCATCAAGACAGGTATGAGCTAATATCTCATTATCGTTTTGACTTGTATTTCCGTGATGATTGGTGACATTGAGCATCTTTTCATATAGATGTATGGCCATCTGCCTGTCTTCCTTGGAGAAATGTCTGTTTAAGCCCTTGGTCCACCATTATGATTTAATGAGACTCAAATAATGATAAAAATTCTTAGTAGGCCCAAGTGCCCATTTTAGGTATCATTGCTTTCAGAGAAGCATTATCCACTTAGAAAGAAAGGCATGAGAAAGGAATGAGGTGATTGACAGCAGCTGGGTGAAGCAGGTAGAATGGATTTTATTACCCTCATTAAGAAATGAGAGACTTAAGACTTTGATTCCCTTTATGCTATCACTGAACTAATATCTGAATAATCTACTATATAACCCAGTAATCCTAGAACTGTTTTTTGTTTTCTTCACAAGATGTTTTATTTTATATTTAGCACTCATCACTATTTGGTATGTGTACGTATATATCTAATTTATATGTGTAATACACATACATACAGATAATACACCTATGTATTTATATATATATATATGTGTACACACACACACACACACACACGTATGTACGCAAGTAATTTGCACAGACCTCTCCTTTCTTGCACTAGAAGGCAAGATTCATTAGAGAAAGGACTCTCATTGCTATCACTTCTGTATCCAAAATGGGCAAGAGGCCTTCTAGAAGTCTTTGTGGAATAAAAGAAGGAAAGAAGGACTTCATGGGGTCTTTATGTAGGATCATCAGTGAAAAATGGTGGTCAGTTGTTTTCTTACAAATGCAAACGTATCTGATTTCTCATTTGCAGATGGCACAGTTTAACTGGGATCCAGAGACAGTGGGCCTTATCCATGGATCTTTTTTCTGGGGTTATATTGTGACACAAATTCCTGGCGGTTTCATTTCAAACAAGTTTGCTGCTAACAGGTAAGACCGATTGATATGAGTGCTGCACAGGTTATAACGTGGCTTTCTTTGTACTTTAAAAAAGTTTCATAGTTGGTTCTCTGTTTTGGAGTGCAGAATGAAAAAACAGGAATTATCTAGATAGATGCAGTTCATAGATATTGATCTCAAATGATCCTCTTAATTGTCTCTTTCAATTAACTTTTCAACAAATGTACTTTACCTTGCAACTCATTGATTATGTAGTAAAGAGAACAATTAGCTCTGAGTCTTGAAGAAATGGTTCCTGGCCTTTCATCTGGTTCACCAAGTTATCTCTGTTGAGTTGCTTTCTCTCCCTCTCTGGGCCTCAATTATCCCAAATGAAAACATTGGACTAAACTGTGTTTTATTGCCCTTTGACCAGTGATGTTCTGTGATCCTATGTACTTATGTTAATATTGCCCAGTACCATAAAGTTTCTGTCATGTGAGTGTCAAGGACTTGCCTCTAGACTTCCAGATGTTTTTAAGACTCTATGGGAGTTGTTTGAGCAATTAAGTGTTTTTTTTTTTTTTTCACTTGTTCATGGACCTTTATTTATTTTTAAAATTTATTTGTGGGGTTGAGAATTAAATCGAGTGCCTCACACATGCTAGGCAAGCAATTTATCACTGAGCCACTACCCCAGCCCCCAATTAAATGTTTAATCACAGAATGAGTTTTCTTAATCAGCAGTGAGTTCTCTGTCACTTAGAGCTACTCAAGCAGAGGAAGACAGCCACTTGGGGGAGATGTTGTGGAGTGTATCATGTCTCAGAAAAGGCAAGTACAAGTATCTCCAGGCCCCTTTTGATGTATTTCTCATATGTCAAACTTTGAAGTACAACTCATTAGATGATTGTGAAATCAACATAGTGATTTACCAATGAGCATTCTTTTAAAAAGAGAGAGAAATAGAAAAGAAGATAATAATAATAAACAGAATAGGATATATTTAAGTGCATTGCACATAAGGATAGGTATTGATGTTTGAGAAACTTGTTGCAGTTACATTTGTGTGTGTGAGTGTAGACTTGGCTGCAATATAAAATATATTTTAAGAGTTAAGATGAAAAATTTGGGCTGGGTTGTGGCTCAGTGGTAGAGCGCTTGCCTAKCATGTGTGATGCACATTGCAAAATAAAGGCATTGTGTCCATCTATAACTAAAACAAAATTCAAAAAAGATCAAAAATTTGAAAGTCATTATCATAAGATTTAAATATGATTGACTTACATGTGCCAGGCAAGCGCTCTTAGCTAATTTGTAGGTTTTATTTATTGTTTATCTATTGTATTTTTTAAAAAGTGTCAAATATTGGCTGCTATGAGCTACCCAGTTACTGCTTGCATCTCTGCCCTAAAAAGAAATTACACATAATTTGATTTTCCAGCTTGTAAAAAGAGTTGAAGCTTCACTAACATGTGGCAGAAGGGAAGAAAACGCTGCCTGCTCTTTTTTGCCAGGACACCCTGGGCCAGGCAGGGAGATAACAAGTGGTACTGGCAGGAAATAGGGGCTAAGACAAGCACCTAGCTTGTCTTGTGCTGGGCTGGTCAGGGTAAGATGCTTCTTGGATAGTCAGTGTCCCCTCATGGTATACTGAAAGCAGTGTGGGAAGTATTAGGGAAAAACTCGAAGAGGCAGAAGCCATAGTAATAGGGTCACTAGGGTGGAAACAGGAAGATTGATGGGTCTTTGGCAAGTTCACTTCAACCTAGTCATTTYGCAACTTTCCAGGCAGGACATTTCTATACTGCTGCCATAAATGTATCCATAATTGGTCCACAGGCTGGAGCATAGGAATCAAAGCAACCAAGGAGTCTAGCTTTGTGTACCCAAGACACTAACACACCATATATTTCTTTGTATTTATTTCTCTTAATTTCCATAAGGCTCTTTCATGAGCTTTTGGAGTGGTTGCTGATGTTTAACTGAAGTGCCTCAGCTATTACTAGCTTGTCCAATAACCCGACGCTTTGATCCCCTAGGGTTTTTGGAGCTGCCATCTTCTTAACATCAACTTTGAACATGTTCATTCCTTCTGCGGCCAGAGTGCACTACGGCTGTGTCATGTGTGTCAGAATTTTGCAAGGTCTAGTGGAGGTAGGAGATATACTCTCCTTACTATTTTTTTGGGGGGGAGAGCGGGGGTACTGGGGATTGAACTCAGGGACACTCGGCCACTGAGCCACATCCATAGCCCTATTTTGTATTTTATTTAGAGACAGGGTCTCACTGAGTTGTTTAGTGCCTCGCCATCACTGAGGCTGGCTTTGAACTTGTGATCCTCCTGCCTTAGCCTCCTGAGCCACTGGGATTACAGGGGTGCACCACTGCTCCTGACTTTTTGATATTGCTAGAGACAAAATGGTCTTTAGAAAATTTGGTTTTACTCAGTTTTTCTATCTCCTACTTGTCCTGCTCTCTGGTAATGGTTATAGTTATGAATATTTTAATTAAAATGCTTTGTGCGCCTTCACACTTATACATAATAAATGATTATTCATTCCGTAGTGATCTTAGAGATAACCTAACCTAATCCCCTTCATTTTTTTAAAATATTTTTTTTTAGTTGTCAATGGACCTTTATTTTATTTATTGATATGTGGTGTTGAGAATCCAACCTAGTGCCTCACACATGCTAGGCAAGCTCTCTACCACTGAGCCACAACCCCAGCCCCCTTTCATTCTAATAGATGATGAAACTGAAGCCCCAAACCCACAGTTCACATAGCAAGAGCTCTTTCCTTTAGTGAAAGCATTGTGAATGCATTTATTAATCAATTTGTAAATTTCTGTTGGATGCAGTGGCATGCACCTATAATCCCAGCAACTCCAGAGGAAGATTCCAAGTTTGAGGGCAGCCTCAGCAACTTAAGACTTTCAGCAACTTAGTGAGAGACTGTCTCAAAAAATAAAAAGGGCTGGGGATGTAACTCAGTGTAGAATGCCCCATGCCCCTGGGTTCAATCCCCAGTACTGCCAAATGAAAAAAAGAAAAAAGCCTCTGTAAATTTCTAAGGTGTAGTCTGATGTGAAGATATAATTCAGTGGAGGAAGCAGCATCATTTAGAACTGCAAGGTAAATATTTTGAGATTTGCAGTCCATATGGTGTCTCTTGCAACTACTTGATGCTGCCATTATTGCACAAAAGAGCCCCAGATATTGTAGAAACAAATGGGGAGGATTGTGTTCCAGTAACATTTTGGATCCTGAAATTTGATTTTCACATGATTTGTGTGTGCCATGTATCTTCTTTTAATTTTTTTTCTTAAGGACTTTAAAATGTAAAAATCTTGTACAAAAACAAATGGTGGGTCAAATTGGGTCATATTTACTAACTCCTGATGTATAGCAACATTTCCCAAACTCTGACATTCACCTCTAACCTTTGTCATATCCCATGTATGACTTGTCTTACTGTTTGCCCATTGTTATTGCCTAGATCAACTCTCTTCAAAAATAAAAACAAAAGCCCTTAGTCTACTCAACAGTATCTTTGAAATTATGGGTTTGAGGTTGTTATTTATATTTTTGTCTAAAGCATATTAGAATATATATGTAACAGTTATAACTAAGATGTATATTATTATTGCATCTCAAATCCAGCTCTAGTCCCATTCTAGTCCCACTGGAGGGATATAGGCCATACTTTGGGAAACACTGAAGTGGTAGAAAGAATGCGACATTAGCAGCCATGAAGACAAAGATCTAGAAGACACTTAATGACTCTTAGCTTCAGATTATGGGTCTTAAAATGAGGGAAATTGGGGCTTGGGCTGGGGCTCAGAGGTAGAGCACTTGCCTAGCATGCATGAGGCACTGGGTTCAATCCTCAGCACCATGTAAAAATAAATCAAAGGTATTGTGTCTACTCACACCTAAAAAATAAATGTTTAAAAAAATCCTTGTTAAAAGTTATTAAATGGCATTCCTCATTAAAATAAAATACTTTTTAAACAATGAGGGGACTTGACAGTGGAAGTCACTTCCAACACTAAAATTCTTCAATAATATCAAATATAAAGACTTCCTTCCAATTCTCCACCATGCTTGTATTGAATTGTGTTTGAATTTCAGTATCTGTGTTATAAGTCATTATAAGCCAAAATAACTGGATTATGCTATTTAGTGGCTTTTCAATCTGTTTGAACTTCTATAATAAAATGCCATAAGCAATATAAATTAATTTCTCATGGTTGGGATGACTAAGTATCAGGCAAATTCAGCAGATTCTGTGTCTGATGAGGGCCCATTTCCTGGACCATAGATAGTCATCTTCTCTATGTGTCCTCATGCGACAGAAAGGGCAACGGTGCTCTCTGGAGTCTCATAAAGGGGCATCAATCCTATTCCTGAGGACTGTCCTCATGCCCTAATCACCTCCCTGAGGCCCATTTCCATCATACTGGAGATTAGCTTTCCATATAGGCATTTGATGGGGGATACAAACTTCAATCTATAGCAGTGTGTCTATATTGGGTTTTTATATTACAGCCTGTGTAAAGAGGCAGCATCCATGCTTTAAACACAGAAATTGGAGTCAAACTTAATAATTGATTTTCCATCTTTCTACTAGGGTGTGACCTATCCAGCCTGCCATGGGATGTGGAGCAAGTGGGCACCACCTTTGGAGAGAAGTCGGCTGGCCACTACTTCCTTTTGTGGTAAGGGTATTAGAATCACAGCACGTTTCATTTAGAAATGCTTTTTGACTCCAAGTAACTGAAACCCTGCTAAGACCTTAAGTAGAGTCTATTCTTTTCACCTAAGAGAATTCCAAAGGCGAGTGGTTGCTGGTGTTGATTCTGGGGCTCAAATGATCCATCAAGGCATAGGCAGATTCTGACTTCTGCTCTGCAGTCCTTAGAGTGATCATTTTTTATTCTCAGGCTTGCTCCATTTGTCCCTTTCATTAGGAAGTCAAAACCTTTTGCAAACCCACTACCCGACTTCTGCTCAAGTGTTATGCTTTCCTATGTGCAGAGGTTAGGAAAGCAAGAGCCTAGTTTTCCCACCTTTACAGTAGAGAAGGAGAAGAAAGACGGTGTTGGAAGTGGTTGTTGAATTAGCCAACAAACGACATTTGCCAAGGATGAAAATAGAAGAGATGGGATAATTAAGCCTCCCACTTTTCTTCTTTTTACATTGAAACTAAAGCCCAAGACTTGCTCCCCGTCACACAGATGCTCCATTGAGGAGGTGGAATGAGACCACCTGACTCTAGGTATGGAACTTTCTTACTTCACACTACTACCATGTACATGTTTCACAGAGATATTTAAATTACTTGTTGCCATTATATTCCTGATATAAATGAAGTGGACCTCATTCATCTTACCTCAGCGTAGACTAGTGGCCCCAAGTCGTGATAGGACTTTAAGTCCTGGGGCTCCAAACCTCACCTTGCTAAGTTTGCCTTACTCTAAGCCACCCCTTTGGGATTGACCCTTCTGGTATCACTGGGAGGACTCAGTGTTCTGAGGGGTTTTACCTAGGTATCGATCAACAGGAAATGGACAGCATATGCTGCTGCCATCAACACAGTTGTAAAGTGTATGTTGAAGACCTGGGTTGATTCCCAGCATCTCAAAACAAACAAGCAAACAAACACAAACAAAAGAGCCCAAAGTGGTCTGTCTCAAACAGAACAGCCCAAAGTGGTCAGTTTGTGGAGAGAAATTCCTGGAGGGTCTTTCTCTGTCGTCATCTTGCTCCACCTCTCTTCTCTGATTTTTCAAGCTCAGATGCCTTCCTAAGACAAACTAACCTGCACTTCTTCCTCTTTATTTCTGTGAGTGTTTTCACTTATCACATCCTCACTCTTTATCTCCTTTAAAGAACAATACCAGTAAAGTGTTTGTTGGGAATTTGGTATGAACTATTCAACAATGTCCCTGTGTAGTGCCACATTTGGAATTGCATGGACGGCTCTTACATCTTTAGCCTTTCTTATCTGTAGAAGCCATCTCTGGCCTCTTGTTTGTAGTTCAAGAACATCTCCACCCTACTACTGAACTTATACCACCCCTAGAGGAGTGTAAGTCTCCACCCCTGCTGACCTTGTGGATTATTGGAACCTTGACCTTGCTTTCTTTAAATGATTGGTTTGTTAAGGTCTTTCATTTTGATTTTCCCAGCAAAATGAAAATGACTTGTAGCCACTCCCCATTCTTAGTATGTTTTTATGACCCTAATAGGGCTGATTTAAGAAATGGCCTGAATCTCAAGGAAAGTTATCTGATCAAAGTCACTGGCCTTATTACATTTCTCAGTTAAGGTATGGCACTATTAAAGAATATCCGCAGGAACTGTCAGTAGAAGGAAACCCAGGGTTGGGGTTCATTAGTTTTTCATCAAAAGATTTTGGAGTGAGAAGAGAACTCTAGGAAACATCTAGTCACATTTCATTGTTTGACAGCTGAAAAAAAAAAAAAAAA